TATATATATAGTTATATATTATTATATATAATATTATATGTAATTAGTGATATCTTTATATAAATATATAACTGGAAGGACATAGAACAATCTGGTATTGATAGTTACTTTGGAGGAGAAAAAGGAGAAAAAGGAATATTGAAAGGACAGAAGGACAGAAGGATTATCAACTTATATTTTCTATATTTTTTGAATTGTTGGAGTTTGATACAATGAGTTATAATTTTATTGTAATTAAAAATAAAACAGCACCAATGGTGCCAAAATTGACAGTGGCCAATTCAACGTCCTATGGACCAAGGCTCAGTCATTCCAGCTTTTCACACTGGTCTCTCTCTTCAGGGCCTTTTTATTTCCCAAAAGCTACGCAGTTGATGGTTTCCTCTACTTCTGCTTCACTTAGTCACTGAGCGTCAGTTATTTTCTGGCCTCAATCCTCTGGTGACAACTTTTGTGCTCTGCAATACCTGTCCACCCTGCCCAACCCCCATAGTCACTTCCTCCAAACAGTGCATTCAAGACTCAACCACTGACATTCCCAGCTGAGCCTCTACCCAACACAGCAGCCAACTAGGACTCTGGTCTCTGATGGTAATTTTAGGGAATCATGGTTTCTTCCTTCAAAATGTGTGAGGAGAGACATACCAGAGAAATAAATGATCTATTTTTTATGGCAGATACTTATGGAAGTCATTGAATATTAAAGTACAGCACAATAAATGTATAAATAGATTAAGAGAATTTCGGATTAAACCCAGGGTCAAGGACGTTGACCAGCTCTGAGAATATGTACCTTTTTGTCTCTGTTCTGTTCACCATCCTCCCCAGAAATCAAATGCAGAGCACTTCCATTCCCTTAGAACGATCTGTGTTCTCAGATAATTACTCACCGATCACCTTCAGCAACAAAGTGGCTTCTTGAAATTCACTGCCTTTTTTAAAAAAACACTTGTATATTCCACTGTCTGAGATCCGGAGACTGTAGATTCTCACAGATACTCTTCCCTCAGTGATGTAATCTTTCACCAACTCTGCTCTCCCTTTGAAATCTACCAGCTGTTCTCCCACCTGCTCCATTCCATCCTGATATACATACACAGCCTCTGAGAATTCAGAACGGAACCACCGCAGCTCCATATTCTCTGCACTCATGGCCGGGGACACGTGACAGGGCAGCACTGTGTCCATGCCCAGCATGGCTACAATTGGCTCTGAGGGGCTGATAACCAAGAATGAATCTGTGGAATAGAGCCATAGTGAACAGAATATCAATGACCTGTCTGGACATTTTGGAATACAGCATCATTATTGGCCCAGTAGAAGCCCGTAGACATTGTCATTCATACACTAGTTTCTGTAGCAAACATTCAGACTGAAGATGGTGGTGCACAAGACAAAGAGTATCTCTACCCAATCAATAGGGTAATCTCTCATTGAACAAATAATTTTTTAATTGCAATGGTGAGAAATTCTATGAAGAAGTAGGGAAGAGTGTTGGGAAATCATGAAACCAGGGTTTTTAATTAGGTCTTGGGCTCAGAAAAATGTGTTCTTCATGAAGCAGAGACCTGAGTGAATTAGAAGTCATTAGTGAAATAATTCCAGCTGGTCTTTCTCTCTAAACTAATCATATAATGGCTTATTTGCCCTCATGTATGGGCAGATAAATCATTATATCAAAATGAAGGATTTGTAATTAACCCAGGCATATAGTGATAGGGTAATTTACTCCTTCTGTTCAGAGAATAAAAGAATCCAAGAATATAAAGTACAAAATATAAAATATTCTTACCTGAGCCCCACATGGACACCTGGAGAAGTAGGAGAGAGAAGAAGTCTCTTAGCAGAGAGAAGTCCAGGAAACCCACCATCTTTCCCAGAGCAGACAACAGTATGACACAGAGTAAGGTCCTGAAAATAGCTAGGGTAAAGACAAAAATGGGATCCATAAGGTAAAAAAAAAAAAAAAAAAAAAAAAAAAAGTCATAGTTAAGACAATTTGCAATGATTCTAAGAAATGGCCTCCAGAAGCTCTCAAACAACTGTAGTGTGTCTCTCAGAGAACATCAGGGAAGCCTTTAACACTCCCCAAAAAAAGAACTTTTGTTTCCCTTTTCAAGGAAACAGTCTGTTTTAAAGTTTATTTATTTATTTTGAGAGAGAGAGCAGGGGGAGGAGCAGAGAGAGAAAATCCCAAGCAGGCTCCATGCTGAGCCCCGACACGGGCTTGATCCCACAAACGATGAGACCATGACCTGAGCCGAAATCAAGAGTTGGATGCTTAACCAACTGAGCCACCCAGTGAACAGTCCCTCCAAGTGAACAGTCTTCATCTCAACAGCCAAGTTCTGCAATGACAAATCTGTCCACAATCTCTCTAAATTCTTCTCTAACTCAAGAATATTTTTTTCCAATGGACAAAGAGACAGAAGGGAGGCAATGAGCAACCACAGAAAGAGATGGCTTTAGTACAAACATTAATTTGGCTTCAACAAATTCTACTTCCCCTCACCGCCCACCCCCCACCACATTCCTATCTGATGGAGGAGCACATATAACTTGGTTTGTCCTCTGTCAGTCAGCCCTTAGGATCCTTGCCCAAATGCTCTCACTTCCCTCTCTCTTGCCCATCACCCACAAAAATGCAACACTCACATCTTTTACATTCTTCTTACAGAAGTGAAGACATTCTGAAACTTCTCAGACTCAGGCCACAGGCACCATGGATCAATACTCTCATCCATTCCTTCCAGTTACCTGCTCTTGGCAGCCAACAGGTATCTCCAAGATGCCAAGAGGATATCAGACTTTGCAAAACATGGGATCCAGGAGGAAGCCTGGGGTGGTTTTTTAAGGGGGTTGAGACAACTGGAAGAAAGACGGCCCCTACATAGGAATCTCTCAGCAGTATACTTCTCTTTGACGATACTGACACACTCAAAACCGAAAGTAAAATAAGATAAGGAAAGAAAACTTTGACCTGTCATGTATAGTAAATCTATCTAATGATTACTTGCTTATAAAATATAGACAGGATCAAAAGCAAGTCATTTCTTTCTTTCTGAGAAGTATATTGTCTAGGTTAATAGCATAGATGCTAGAACTTGACTACCTGAGTTAAGATCCTGGTGAGGCTATTTACAACTTATGATTTTAAGCAAGTTACACAACCTATCTGTGCCTCAGTTTCCTCATGTGACAATGGGTTGGATAATAGTATGTACCCTATTTTGGGTGAGGAGTACACAAGTGTATGTAAAGCACTTAGAAGACTGTCAATAACTTATAGATTATGTGTAAGTTGTTAGCAATTTTTATTTTAATGTCTTGCTCATTCACCACAATATGTCTGCCATTCTGATGAGAATTTTGGACTCCCTCATTTCATTAGGCAGGGAACTGAGAAGACATGGGCACATTCATACTCTCTAACTCATCTCCCAGACAGAAATTTTCTCCACTAACATCCAGATTTTATCCATCTCAACAAGGATAAAAGAAAAACAGTATTAAAATTTCCCAAATGATCCTCTTAGATTTTCATCTTCATTCAATGCTATAAATAATGGGAGAGGTAAGGATGAGATTACTGTCCCCTGTCTACATAAATCATTTTTGTTTTGAAGATCCTTTAAGGTCTATGAATTCTAGAATAATTGTTTCTTGCTTAGAATGACAGAAATTCTGAGTTAGAGACTAAAAATTTTTTTAAAACTCTAATTTACATTTTTGAAACTCTGTGTCTAAGATTAAATATCTATAAATGGTTTATAAGAGACATAGAGAACAAGAAATAAATACAAACCAGACACATTCTAATACAGTTGTAGATATGGCGCTATTAATTTTTTAAAAAATAACATTCAGAGAAATTCAAAGAAACAAAATTGTCCTTTCAAATAGATACATTTAGTAACAACAAAGACTTTTGGATGGTGCTAATAGCATACAGTTGAATTAAAAAATGCAAAGAAGCTTCTGGGTGGCTCAGTTGGTTAAGCATCCGACTTTGGCTCAGGTCATGAACTCACAGCTTGTGATTTCGAGCCCACATCAGGCTCTGTGCTGACAGCTCGGAGCCTGGAGCCTACTTCAGATTCTGTGTCTCCCTCTCTCTCTCTGCCCCTCCCCCACTCATGCTCTGTCTCTCTCTCTCTCAAAAATAAATAAACATTAAAAAAATTAAAAAACGCAAAATCAGTTGGGAACTCAAAAAGGAATTTTAGGGGGCGCCTGGGTGGCTCAGTCGGTTGAGCGTCCGACTTCAGCCCGGGTCACGATCTCGCGGTCTGTGAGTTCGAGCCCTGCGTCAGGCTCTGGGCTGATGGCTCAGAGCCTGGAGCCTGCTTCAGATTCTGTAGCTCCCTCTCTCTCTGCCCCTCCCCCGTTCATGCTCTGTCTCTCTCTGTCTCAAGAATAAATAAACGTTAAAAAAAATTTTTTTTAAATAAAAAAAAGGAATTTTAGTTATAATTTAGTCAGAAATTAACAGAACTATTATAGAAACATATAAATGAAGTTATAGAAGTTATGTTATATAAACTATGCTATATCAAACCTTTATGACTTTGTGAGATCCAACAATTTCTCTTAATTTTTGATTAATATAAATCCACTGCAGACAATTAACATGGATTAGTAGAAATGACCCAGTGTGACACTTATCTAACTCCTTCCTCCACTGTGCTGGGAGTTCCAGATCTTTTCCAGCTGTTCTTATATAAACAAATACCAAAATATCTGCTTATTTCAAGCATTCTTTTTGAAACTTGCTTAAGTATGTAATCTCAATAGGGATTTGGATTTACATTTTCTAACCAGTCAGGGATTCAACATGAATGTGAATGATACTTGAATTTAAATTTATGAAATAAGTCACTACCACAGAAAAGCCACACAGTTTCTCTTGGAGGCAACTGCTCTTTTGGGAGAGGCTACCAGAAAAACAAAAACACAAAGTCAGCATGTGGCTCCTCCATTCCTAGGTAGCTAACTTCAGTAGACAACATCTACCAAATCTCCTATCTTTCCACCTTACTCCAACCCAAGTGGAGTAAACAGAGCATGAGATGTATCTCCAAACCTCCCTGCTCCAAGCCCCTGTGGTCAAAACCTCCAACTCTTCCCTCTTTACATAAGAGAAGTTTTGTGAGGGGGAAACTTCTGATTCCTTACTTGTCCAGAAATGTCTTTTGCCCTTACATTTAGATGTTCATTTTGTCACTTAGATAATTCTAGTTTCTACTCAGGGATGTAAAGACTACTTTGAATTGTTTTCTAGCAAATAATTTAACATTCAACAAGGCAGATGTATGATGGAATCTGATTCTTCTCTTGTACATGAGGGATTTTTTTGGACTTTGGAAGCTTTGAGATTCTTTTTTATTTGTTTGGGATTCTAAAACTTTTTAAAAATTCATGCATAAGTGACATCTTTTTTCCCTTCAATAATCTAACTCTTTACGAAGTACTCTTTCTTCTGATTCTGGGCCCTAATCTGCTTCCCAGTTTGGAAAACCTATTAGATGAATGTTGAAGTTCTGGATCTAATGCACTTAATTTAACTTATGTTTCTTAGATTTTATCTCTTTGATTTAAAATATCAGATTCTGGAAGAATCCAGTAACCCGTTTTTCTAGCCCAATATATTCTTTTAAGTTTTAATTTAAATTCCTGTTAGTTAACATACAGTGTAAGTTTCAGGTGTACAGTTTAGTGATGCAACATTCCATGTTACACCAAGTGCTCTCGCCCAATATTTTGACCTTCAGCAGTGTCTACTCCCATATCTGAGCCTTTCACTTGGTTTCTACTTTAAGCCAGTTTTTCACTCCCAGGAATGTTGACTGTTTCTTCAGTCCTGCATTTCCTACAAATGAATCCTTCCTATTGTACTTCACATTTGTATTTTTAAAAATCTTTATATACATATTATTCTTCACTTTTTTATGTGAGAGAAATTTGAAAATTCAAGATAAGCAAAAATAACAGATAGAAACACCCATATTTGAGAGTCTCTTATGGTTTGGCTCTCTCCCTAACTCTTTTTTTCCTTCCCCTCCCCCATGGTCTTCTGTTAAGTTTCTCAGGATCCACATAAGAGTGAAATGTATGGTATCTGTCTTTCTCTGTATGACTTATTTCACTTAGCATAACACTCTCCAGTTCCATCCACATTGCTACAAAAGGCCATATTTCATTCTTTCTCATTGCCAAGTAGTATCCCATTGTGTATATAAACCACAATTTCTTTATCCATGATGGGAGGGTGGGGAGGATGAATGATGGGCATAGAGGAAGGCACCTGTTGAGATGAGCACTGGGTGTTGTATGGAAACCAATTTGACAATAAATTTCATATTAAAAAAAAAACACCTATTTTTGGGGCGCCTGGATGGCTCAGTAAGTTAAGCGGCCAACTTCGGCTCAGGTCATGATCTCACAGTTTGTGGGTTTAAGCCCTGCATGGGACTTAAGCTCAGAGCTTGGAAACTGCTTCAAATTCTATGTCTCCCTCTCTCTCTCTCTCCCCCTCCCCTGTTCACACTCTGTCTCCCTCTGTCTCTCAAAAATGAATAAACATTTAAATATATATATAAAAAAGAAACACCCATATTTGTATCACTCAAAAATAAATACCACAGGATACCTTTTTTTGTGATTTCGATGTCTATCCTTTCATATTTCTTAAGCAAATAAGACCATACTGTTCACACTGTCTTAAAACTGCTTTTCGAAATGAATAATATCTTATAGTGCTCACTTACCCTCCCTCCTCACCTTTCCCCTTAAAAACATGAACACTGCTATAGACATGATGTAATTCCCTTAAAATATTCTCCACAGATTGACTTTCCTCAAACAATTCTCTATTATTGGGAAAAATGTCTTAATATATACATATGAATTTTTCACATTTATTTTCTAGCTTTGTTGGAAATGTATATTGATCTATTTACATTTGGGAACAGAATACACACACAAGCATATTCAGAAATCACAAAGTAAACAAGAGGTAAGTAGTATCTTTAACCCTCACTTTTTTTCTTTCAGTGTTCCCTTCTCATTCCCAAATACTTCAGACTTAACGTATTAGGTGGATGTCAGAGCTCAGTGCTCAGTGGCGAGGGCTGCCCTACATGATGGGAGAGGGCTTGAGTGGACGAGTAGGGAGTGAGAGAGGTGGGAAAGCAACCCTGAAAAGAACTGTAGAAAAATATATTGTAGGGGCACCTGGTGGCTCAGTCAGTTGAGCATCTGACTTCTGCTCAGGTCATGATCTCATGAGTTCAAGCCCAGCATCAGGCTTTGTGCTGACAGCTCAGAGCCTGGAGCTTGCTTCAGATTCTATGTCTCCATCTCTCTCTGACCCTCCCCTGCTCACACTCTTGTCTCTCGCTCTCAAAAATAAATAAACATTTTTTAAAAAAATTTTTTAAAAAGAACATATTGTACTATAATCAAACAATGCCATATTATGCAGCAATAAAAAAAATGTTTAAATGTGCTGATACAACATGGTTGAATCTCCAAAAAAAAAACATTTTGTTTATACAAAGAAGCCAAATGCTAAAGCAGACATGCTGTATGATTTTTTTTTAATTGTTTTTGAAGTTTTAGGAAAGGCAATATTAAGCTACCATGATTCATATCAAAATACTGTTTGTTTTTCCTGGAATGAATTGGCTGACAGTAAAGATGAGGGAAATTTTCAGGAGACAAACATGTTCCATATTTTGAGGGAAGTGGTAGTTCTATGAGTGTAAGCATTTGTAAGACTTCATTGGCATGTACATTTCAAATCCATACATTCCATTGCATGCAAATTATATCTCCATAAATTTTATTTTTAAAGAGTCAAATGTACCTCACTGTCTCTAGAGAATATTTATTTAGAATCTTGATATCCCTTTCACCTGACTGCTAGTGGCTTACATACTAATATTTACGCAATTGCTATTTGTGTCCCTAATTATCTGTAAACTTTGTGTGATATGAAAAAACATGACTTGGACTTGGAAAGAATGTGAAATGGAAAGAAACGCCTTTTGAGCACATTCTATGTCTGGGACTGTACAATTGTGTTATTATTTCCATGTTACTTTAGGGAGCCCTAAAGTTTTTGGATATACAGCCCTAAGTTCCTCAGAGTACAGAGCCCTCCATTTCCGACCTCTTGTTTTCCCCTACACAGCTCAGCATGTGGTTTCCAGTGTCATTTGGGGTGTGATAGGACGAAGGCTGTATTTGTGATTCTTGTTCTCTTAATCAGTTAACTTTGTGAGTTAAACATTGGGATGACCAACATCCCTGAATATCACACAGGAAAGGGATTCTCCCTCCCTGAATAATGTGATTTCAGCCCTTTGCAGGTAGGAAGACGTGAGCATTTTTGACCAAAGCACACCTTAGACTTCCTATCATTTTATATCTTAGCCCAGTCCAAAGTCCCCTAGGATCAATTCTATTACCTCTACTTTTCAAAGTAACAGGAAGAGCTGCAGGCAGGCTGTGACTTCCTCATTCGACTCCTTCTAGGGGAGGCATTCACCTGTCAGCGCCTCTTGGCAGCTCCATTTGCCCCCCTTCCTAAGTACATTTTCCAATCCAGGGATGGGTTGGAAACCTGCTGCTCCCAGCACCTACAGCCACACCTTTGGATGCTGACCACAAGAACAACCAGGTACCAATTGTCTCTGGAGCTGGGCCTTGTAGTTGCACTGAGGAGATCAGGAGTTTCCAGGAAGCCCCTGGCTCAATCTGGATGTGAGAAAGAAATGTGTGGTGATGTGGAGGTGAGTTTGTGGGAAATATGGATCCCAAAAACAAAAGGGCTTGAGCTCCAGGTCACATGGAGAGAAAACTCCTTTCTCTTTCTGGAGTTAAGCCACAAGTGTATTTGTGGTCAAACAAATAAATAAATGTATGAATGAATCAGTGAACAAATGCAAGAAGGAGGAAGTTAGATCGGCTAATAGGAGTGGACTAATTTTGTGTCTGCTTTCATTTCTCAAAATGAACTCAAGGTTTTCAATTTCAAGAGAGCTTTGGTGAGAGGATGAGTCCATAGATAAACAAGAGAACCCCCAGGGCACAAGAGAATGGTTTATAGTTTCTCTGCTGGAGAAACAGTTGGTTTTCAGAAAGAAGAGAGGGAAGGAAAACCCATTGGGGAGGGGTTGGAATTGGTAGTGGTCTGTCAGGAATAACAGCCAAAAAACTGTGTATGAAAGTAAATCTTTGAACAGGGGATTTTTTTTTTTCCTAAAAGCCTTCTTCCTGCTAACTTACTCACCAGCTTCTCCTACAGAGTACTTCTTCCTTGTCAGAGTGAATATTTTGTGCTTTTACTTTCTGTTCTGAAGAAGATGGTGGGCTCTCCTGGCTATTGTGCTGGCTTCCTCCTTCCTGTCCTCCTTCTCCAGGTGTCTACATGGTACTCAACAGGTCAGTGTTCTCCCTCAGGCTTTTTATTTATTGGCTTGTTTTCAATGGCTCTTCTCAGATGATGAAAATACTTGGTCATTCATCAGTCGCCAGTGTATCTCTTCTCAAAGGCAGTCAATATTGGGGGAAAACCGTGACTGTGTTCACACTAACAGAATGCTGGAAAGTTCTGGCCAAGAATGGGAGTGATCTTTGTATCAACACTCCTTATTACTTTGGGTAGACCTTAAAAAACTCATAGCTATGTTTGTCTAAATCTTTATTGAGTATGGGTGATTTTAGCCTGCTTAATTTTGATGTAATTATCAGTTAAAAACATACTTTATAATGTTCACACTGCCAAGAAAACCCAAGTCTGAGCATAAAGAATTTGGACTCAGGATCTCTGGGCTCTATCTGGTTATGACGCTTGACAAAAATTTTTTTTTCTGGGACTTGAGTCCTTCCATAAATACGAAGGTCCCTCAGGAAGTTTTCAGACTCGAGGTTTATAGACAAACCAGGCATGAGTTTACAATAATGATATTTTTTTGTTAACATCTCTTTAATTTTTTTTTTATTTTTTATTTTTTTCAACGTTTATTTTATTTTTGGGACAGAGAGAGACAGAGCATGAATGGGGGAGGGGCAGAGAGAGAAGGAGACACAGAATCGAAACAGGCTCAGGCTCTGAGCCATCAGCCCAGAGCTCTGATGGGCTCGAACCACGGATCACGAGATCGTGACCTGGCTGAAGTCGGACGCTTAACCGGCTGCACCACCCAGGCACCCCAACATCTCTTTAATTTGATGTCAGTTAGGCAAGGAGTATTAAATTGTTTCATTTCTATACATGTTGATTCAGCAATTCTACAAGAATTTATCATAAAGAAAAGCTCTTCCTTGTGTATATGTATATATGTATTAAATAGGGAACCTGGGTGGCTCAGTGGGTTAAGCAACTGACTCTTGATTTCTTCTCAGGTCATGATCTCACAGTGTGGAAATGGAGCCCCAAGTCAGGCTCCATGCTGAATGTGAAGCCTGCTTGGGATTCTTTCTCTCCCTCTCTCTCTGCCCTCCTGCTTGTGTGTGCATATGTGTGCATGGGCACACGTGTTCTCTCTCAAAAAAAAAAATCTTAAAGAAAAATACAGTTGGGGCTTTTGTCTCCCCCTCACTCATTCCCCCAATCTGTCTGATTTTCATGCAGTGTCCGGGTTTTCTGTAAAGGGACCGGTTGAGCCAACCGTGGTTCTGCTAGGGACAGATGCCACTCTGCCTTGCCAGCTGTCCCCTGAGCAGAGTGCAACCCACATGCACATCCGGTGGTACCGAGCCCAACTCTCCCCTGCTGTGCTTGTGTACCAGAATGGACAGGAACAAAGTGGGGAGCAAATGCTGGAATACCGTGGCAGGACAGAGTTGGTGAGGGACTCCATCAGCAAAGGGGGTGTGGCCCTGCTGATCCAACATGTCCGTGCTTCTGATCATGGCCAGTACCGGTGTCATTTTAAGGATGGTCACAGTTCCCAAGAAGCCGTTGTGGAGCTGCATGTTATAGGTATGTCAACTTGACACAGAAGTGTGCTTCATGGTGTAAAGCAAAGAGAAAAATGAGGACATTTGGATTCCTAACGTGGCATTTCTTATGATCTTCCATATATTGATATTGATATGCTAATTTACCTTGCAAGATATCAGTTTCCTAAACTATATAGTGAGGATATGACTACATACTCTATTCACTTTTAAACACCAAAAGGGCAATATTTTTAGGGTTGTTTTGGTATCCTAAAAGACTCCAGAAAATAAACTAATATTAATTCAGATTGGTACTGACACCCTCAGACATTAGTAGAATTTTATACATTCAGTAGGAAAAGACAATTTATAGAATTAAACTCCTTCTATAGCTTTAATTGTACCTGTTTTTTCCTATCCGTGAAATGACCCCAAAGCTTTCTTAGTCCAAATATAGTGCAAAGGCATCAAGTTGATTTCAAAAAGGAATCACAGTTTGGCCTAACACTCACTACGAGAGGTTTCTTGACCTCTGAGCTTCAGTTTGCTCATCAGTCTAGTGAGGGCACTTTGGCCTTCAGCCTTAGGGGCTTCTAAACCCCAAGGACCACAGGCCTCAGGAACATGCCTTCTCTCCTCAGGGTTGGGCTCTGTGCCTCATGTTCACATGATGGGGCCTGAGGATGGTGGGATACGAATACTGTGCTCTGCAGAAGGCTGGTTCCCAAAACCCAGGGTACAATGGAGTGACATGATGGGTGTGAAGTTACAGTCTCTCACTGAGTCTCACACCCAAGATGAAGATGGGCTCTTCCATGTGGAAGCATCTCTTGTGGTCACAGATAGCTCTCTGGGCAATGTGACCTGTTCCATCCAGAATCCCCTCTCTGGTCAGGAGAAGGTGTCAGCCATCTACCTCCCAGGTGAGTGAGGCACAAACCCCAAGGCAGAGCTGGGGTGTGGGGAGGGGAGGGAGGGGGGAAACAGAGTTGAGGGAGCCCTGGAGAGAGGGCAGGATAGCCTCTAGGCTAATCTCACTGTGTCTTCACATGCCTGTGTCAGAGCCCTTCTTCCCCAGGATGTCTCTATGGAAGGCAGCCCTGGTTGGGACAGTCCCTACGCTGGTGCTCCTCCTCACTGGGATCAGCTACATTGGCTGGAGAGAACACCAAGCCAAAGAAAGAGAAGTAAAGAAAAGGAAGAAAGAATCTCAGGAAAGAGATCAGATGGAGAATGAAAAGGAATTGGCACTTAAGGCGAAAGGTAAATTGGAACAGCAGGACAAATCAGATGTTCATGGAACAGCTGGGGGTATAGGATGTATAATGTACATGGGAAAATAAAAGGTTGCCAAGGGACCCCAGGAAAAATAGAGGGTACCAAGAATTCCATAAAGCTGGGAATCCTATGGAAAGGAGAAAACCATGTGGGAAGCTTGGAGATTTGTGGGCAGTGATCATCAGGCCTCTAAGGTGGGGCTCCTCAAACCACACCATGCCCTTCATGCATCTGTACCCAACCTATGCTGCTGTTTCTCCTTGTGTAAATGTCTTCCCCCATCTTCTCCTCCTATTCTTCCTTCGAGAATAAGCTTCTGAAGAACCTAAAAATTCCTACCTTCTCATGAAGCATAGGCCCTCCTTCCTCAGTGACCCCATGACATTTCCCATGTAACTTTTCTTAGCACTTGTCATTTTTAGATTGTCATTTCCTAGCACTTGTCAAGATTAGATTGCTAATCCTTCTCACCTACTTAACTATGGACCCTTAAGGGAAGGCCATATGGAATTGATTCAGCTACTCCATGAATTCAAGAGCAGCTAAAACCCAGTTTGATGGATTTTTTATCTCTTCTTTCAGAGAACCTCAAGAAAGAACTTGGTGAGTCTTGCTTCTTCTCATGCCCTGTATAGAATTTGCTCCCCTGTTGACATCTGTTCTGGGTCTCTCACTGAATGTCATTTCTTTCAGAACAGCGAAAGGCACTATACCATGCAGGTAAGCAACTGGGTTTCCCACACCACTCAATGTTTTGATGTCCAACACTTTCTCAGCTCCCTCTCCTCAGAGAGAAAGACTGAAAGATATAACAGTGATTGGTGGAAAAAATTAAGGGGGAAGGAGAAGAATGTGAGGCTCTGGATGTCTTGGCTTGCCTTAACTGGATTTGTTCTGTTTTAGTTTGGAAGAAGGCCCTGCTGTATCCTGGTAAGTAACTCTCTGACTTAGCTCTTTCCATGAGCCTCTGATATTCTGAGTATAATAAGCGGAGACATAAACACACACAAGCACACATCCACTTGCAAGATGTGAAGATTTATTTGGTACCAATCTATAGTATTTTGTATTTGGGAGCTCAAATATTCAATTATTTTTCAGAGCTAAAGAGAAATAACTGTTGACTGGTAAATTCCACATGAATAGAGTAGGACTTGACATAAATTGTTAACCTATCCACAATGGAGAAGGAAGAGAAAGAATTCAGAGCGATTTTGATGAGACTTAAGAAGAATAAAGAATATCCTATATGATATCAGCACTCCTATACTGTGAATAAAGCTCAAAAGAGAAGATAATGTTACATTTCACATTTGGAGAAAAAGATATTATGATTTTATTTATTTTACCTATAAATAAAGAAAGTAAAGTTCAGTACACAAGAACAAGGTTTAAGTTTGAAAACAATCTCTCAAAATATTTTAATATTATTTGTAAAAATATGTTTATCTGGTAGTAGAGGGAATTGGCTATTTTATATCTTCTAATACCTGTGCCCATGTACTGTACGTGTTTAAGAGAGTGTATGTGCATATGTAATACAGAGTTAGACCTCAAAAGCATACTAGGTCATTCCTTAAACATACAGTTGTGCAATTTTTATATGCCAGATATTGTGTTAGATGTTGGTGCATAGCCATGATCTCTGACCATTTAGAACTTGAATGGTCTTAAACTTGGGGTGGGAGGGATGAGTAAGCTAAGAACCAGGCAAATGCACACAGTCTGGTAAATGCTTTGGTAAGAGAGGATCAAGAAGCCCCTCTCAAAGGCTAAAGTCAGGTAAGCAGTTTCTATTAAAAGCTTTCTTTCCGGAGCTGCTTTAACATGTTCCATGATTCTACAAGAGAGAGCAAAGTATAGTATAGTAAGGATGAGGATATGTGGGTTTTAGTTCCAAATCTATCAGTTAATTACAGCTGAGGAATTCAGTCATTTTTGCTTTCTTTACCTCAGCCTCCTTATTTCTAAGATGAAGAGATTGGAATACATGATCACAGATGTCCTTCTTGACTCACATATTCATTGATTCTGTATATAGAGTACTACCCTTCTTAGAAGAGGGCAGGTCAGTGAGAGACCATCAAGAATTATGGATAAGTTCTTATCTGCCTATTGCCCCAAGACACTAAGAGAATATCCAATCTTTAAATAAAATCATAAATCTTATCATAAGAGAAGTGGCCCCAGGCAGAAGCAGATGTAGTTCTATCCCCCATGAGAAATCTGTCTCTGGAGAAAAATATTAAAAATCTGATTACAAGTATCCAAATAAAAGAGCTTAGTTTAAAAACCTTGGTCATAAATTTAACTCTATTCTGAAGTGGTCATAGGCTGGGAAAACCCTAAAACAAACAAAACAAAACAAAACAAAACAAAACAAAACAAAACAAAACAAAATAAAATATACAATGACATTTTATAACTTTCATCCTCAGTGAGGAGTGCCACAAAAGTCTTAGGTGCCTAGGACACTAGACCCTGCTCCAAGTGTTCTCCAGACTTATTTCTGCAGCATCAGCTCAATTGAGGGGATTGTTTCTAATCTGAGACAGCAGGGAGGAAGTACATCCTTTGTCTTGTAGTTTCTGGACACTGCCGTTGTTCAAGGGGCTCAGCAGAGGACGGAAAGAGAGCTGAGAAGAGACAGCAATGATCCAGGAGAGGAAGTGTGTATCTCATCTTCATTCTGTGGGTATGCTTCCATCACAGTCTCAATTTGTATTGCTCTTTTACAGACTGGAGGAAGGAACAGTTCCAGCCTGGTGAGTGGCTCTTTGTTTATTTTTCTGACTCCTTTCCAACCTACCTGAGGGTACCCTGTTTTTCCCTCCTAACATTACCTCCTAGTTGAAAAGACAGAAGTACGATTATTCTGGTAAAGAGAAGCAAGAACATGAAGATCATTAACTGTTGGCCTGAACTGAAAATTGCTGCTGGGATTAGCTACTCTGGTTGCATTTCTGCTTTCATATAATGGCCACGCTTTCTCATCTCTGTGCGTGTATGTGTGTGTGGTGGGGGTTCCACTTGTTTCTGAACAGAAATTGTAGCCCCTGTTGAGGAGATCCCCAACTGAGTAACAAGTGCTCAAAATGGTGAGAGTAACTCGATTCTTCTTTTTAAAGAGGTCAGCTGACATGGAGTCTGTTACTAATTGAAGAACATGGTTCTAATTTGTAAAGAACATGGAAAAACACTATTCTCAAGTAAACACTACAAGTCTCAGCTCATTCTGGCACTCTGCCAAGACATTGATAATAACATAGGTAATATAAGAAGAGATAAGTAAATTGCACCCAAGGTGAGAGCACTCCACAGCTCTACCTCCCCCAGTACACACACATTCAGGGGATAGGTGTTCTTTCACTACTTGATCCTGTTTTTCCAAGGTTTCGCTTGCACAACTTTCTGAAATATATAATGTTGGCCCTTCCCTTTCCTTTTCTTTACCCTCAGCCACTGTGACTGTAAATCAGGAAATCTTTCATCAGAATAATTCTGACCCAGAGAGAAAAGAGAACTTCAAAGAGGAAACACACGATCTATCTCTCAGGGATAAGCAAGGAGACTGCAACCTTATCACATTGAATCAGCAAGACTTCACCTCAGGAAAACATTACTGGGAAGTGGATGTTAAGGACGCTGATGAGTGGACTCTAGGCATTTATGAGAATCCCACAGACAGCAGGGAGTTATCCAAAGATCTACAAAACAAGAAATTCAGAGTCTTAGAGAAGAAAGGATGTGAATACAGGGCTCTCACCTATTGCCTCCAAAACATTTCTCTGCAAGAGTGTCTCTTGATAAAAAAGTGTCCACAAAAGATTGCGATTTTTTTGGATTATGAGGATAATGACATTTCTTTCTATGACATGACGGAGGGTACCCACATCTTCTCCTTCACCCAGGCAACTTTCTCTGGGTCACTCTATCCTTACTTCAACCTTAAATCCATGAAGCTCTCCTTATAGGTGTAATATTAAGTGACTTAGAGGAAGAACCCATACTGTGAGGATAATAGCCCATTCTCTGTAAACTCTAGATTGCTAGGGTGTTTTTTTTTTAAGTTTGTTTATTTATTTTGAGAGAGAGAGAGAGAGTGGGGGAGGGGGATAGAGGGAGGGAGAGAGAGAGAGAATTTCAAACAGGCTCCACACTGTCAATGCAGAGCCTGATGCAGGGCTTGACTTCACGAAGCATGTGAGTGCCAGAAGACCATGACCTGAGCCAAAGTTAGATGCTTAATCAACTGAGCCACCCAGATTACAGTTCTGATGGGTGACCTCAGGCTCACTGATTATGAGGCCTCTTGGCCTGAAGGTCCATGAGTCCCTGTGACCAGAGTTTCTGACTATATCCAGCAGTGTTTCTGAATTGCAGAGAAACTTTTTGTTGTAGTTGTTATTGTTATAAGTGCTGTTTATTGCTTTATATTTAATATATCACAGACTGATAATTTTCTAAAACAAATTATTGTAAAAATGAAGTCAATAAAAAACATGCATACAATTACAAGTTGTAATTATTGTTAGATTCAACATTCTTAAAATTTCTCTGTCAATTTACTCTAAATGTTAGAAATACTCTATTTCTATATTTATCTTGTAAAGAAGTGGTAAGAAACAGTTAATATAGTTCACTGGTGTGTGAACCATAATTTAAGTAGCACTTCTAAAGCAGTATTCACAGGAGTAAAAGTTAGATAAACCTCTTCACATTTCCCATTGCAACACTGAATAAAAGTGACAAAATAGTGCTATTTTCAAATGCTGAAGGAGAAAAGTTAAATTATAATTTGATGCAAGCTAAGCTATATCTTAAATGCGAGGATAATTTGAGGAAAGAAAAAATAAATATCAATCACAATCCAATTCTTTTTTTTTTTTTTTAATTTTTTTTTAACGTTTATTTATTTTTTTGGGACAGAGAGAGACAGAGCATGAACGGGGGAGGGGCAGAGAGAGAGGGAGACACAGAATCAGAAACAGGCTCCAGGCTCTGAGCCATCAGCCCAGAGCCCGACGCGGGGCTCGAACTCACGGACCGCGAGATCGTGACCTGGCTGAAGTCGGACGCTTAACCGACTGCGCCACCCAGGCGCCCATTCACAATCCAATTCTAACAAATGTGATGATGTCAACATGATAGCAGTCTGGGAAAACTAATGCAGTGAGAGCATATTGAAGTATTTATCTTATTAAAGAAAGAGAGAGACATTTTATTACTGCTTTGCCCAAGATATTAATAAGGGAAATAACTATATATTTTGGGGAATTCTAAGTATAGACACCAGCAGAGGTAAGGAAAAGGCCTTCTTCTCCTTCCAATCAAAACTGTTATATTAAAATGAAATGACTAGAGGAAACAATAATTAGTGTTTAAATAGGGTAAGAAGAGAATGTGCTCCTGTGAACTATACTGAAAAACCTGGTAAATTCTGTGGATATGGAGTAGAGTACCCAGAAGAGTCTTGCCCCAGTGGCAGGGAATAATTAGACCTAAACTGATCCAATACTGATGAACAAACCTTAAAAGCAAAGCTCAACAGGATCAAATTATTTACAAGTATCTAACTTTATTCCAGAGCAGAGTTCAAGTTAAAATTCACAGCCAATCAAAAATTACGAGGCTTGGAAAGAAGCAGGAAATCCAACTCATAATGAACAGAAAATCAATAAATTAAAAGTGACATGGAACTGATGAAAGTGTTAGAGATTTAACAGACAAGGAGAGGGGCGCCTGGGTGGCTCAGTCGGCTAAGCGGCCGACTTCGGCTCAGGTCACGATCTCGCGGTCCGTGAGTTCGAGCCCCGCGTCGGGCTCTGTGCTGACAGCTCAGAGCCTGGAGCCTGTTTCAGATTCTGTGTCTCCCTCTCTCTCTGCCCCTCCCCGTTCATACTCTATCTCTCTCTGTCTTAAAAATAACTAAACGTTAAAAAAAATTTTTAAAAAATAGACAAGGAGATTAAAACAGATGTTGTAACTATATTCCAGATATTTAAAAAGTTCACTGTATTCTAGATATTCAAAAAGTTCACTAGAAATATGCATTTAAAAGAAAGACCCAAATTCAAATTCTTTAGTTGGAAAAGACCATGAATGAGATGAAAATTACATTGGCTATGACTGGCAGCAGATTAACAGTTACAGAAATAAATGATTAGTGAACTTGAATAAATAAATAAAAATGGAAACGATCCAAAATAAACCGCACATTTTTTTAAAGTATTTTTTAAATAGTATCAGTGAGTTGTGGGAAAACTTTAAAGGGCCCAATACAAAGGCAATTGAAGTTTTTGAAAAGAAGAGAAGGGAGGACAGAAAAAGGATTTGAGAAAATAAGAGCCAAATATATATTCTAAATTTGATCATTATAAACTCCAGATCCAAAAAGCTGTCCTAGTCTGTTTGGGCTGCTATAACAAAAATACCACAGACTCAGTGACATACAAACTACAGAAATTCATTTTTCATGATTCTGGAGGCTGAGAATTCCAAGATCAAGGTGCCTTTAGCTTTGGTGTCTAGTGAGAGCTAGTTGCCTGGTTTGTAGACGGTTGTCTTCTCACTGTGTCTTCACATGGTTGAAGGGATTATGGAGCTTTGTGGGGTCTCCTTTTTAAGGACACTAATGCCATTCATAAAGGCTCCACTCTCATGTTTTAATTGCTTACCAAAGGTGGAAATACTAAACACCATCATCACTTTGGGGATTAGGCTTCAACCTATGTATTTTGGGAGAACATACACATTCATTCCATAGCAAAGTTCAATGAACTCAAAGAACAAAAATACAGAGAATACATAGCATATGCAAATCAAATTGCGTAAAATCAGAGATTTAAAGATGCCAAAGCAAAAAAATTAAATTATGTTCAGAAAAACAAAGATAAAGATGACAACATATTTCTCATTGTAAACAGTGTAAGTGAGAAACATGGAAAAAATATATATCATCAGAATAGCATTTAATACCCAGTGAAAAATTTTCAAAAGCAAATGTGAAATAAAGATGTTTTCATTCATAGACAAGCAAAAAAAAGCAATCATCACCAGCAGACCCACACTACAAGAATGGTAAAAGCAGTCCCTTTAAACAGAAGGAAAATGGTAACCAATGGAAATTTGTATCTATACAAAGGAATTAAGAGCACCGGAAATGGTATCTGTATAAGGAATTCTAAAATGATTTCTTTTTCTTGTTTAAAAGTTTTAAAAGATAAGAGACACTTTAAACAAAAATAATAACAATGAAGAATGGGATTTATAACAGAAGAAAAAATTTAATGTATGACAACAACAGCACAAAAACCAGGAGGGAGGACATGAAAAAATACTGCTGTAAGTCTCCTACTAGACATGAAGTAGTATTAACAGCATTTGAGGTTAGAACGCTGTAAGTTAAAAGTGAATGCTATAAACTGTGAACATTCACTAAAATAACAAAAAATTACAGTTATTAAGCCAGAAATGGAAATAAAATGAATCATTAAAAAATAATCAGCTTGGGGCACCTGGGTGGCTCAGCTGGTTAAACATAGGACTCTTAGTTTTGGCTCAGGTCATGATCTCACAGTCTGTGAGTTTGGGCCCCATATCACGCTCCATGCTGACAGCAAGGGACCTGCTTGGGATTCTGTCTCTCTCCATCTCTCTCTGCCCATCCCCTGCTCACGCGCTCATGCTCTCTCTCTCTCAAAATAAAATTAAAGATGTGGTTTATATATATAATGGTATACTACTTGGCAAAAAGAAAGAATGAAATCCTGCCATTTGCAGCAACGTGGATGGAACTGGAGGGTATTATGCTAAGTGAAACAAGTCAGTCAGAGAAATACAAATATCATATGTTTCCATTCATATGCAGAACTTGAGAAACTTAACAAAAGACCATGGGGGAAGGAAGGGGGAAAAATAGTTACAAACAGAGGGAAGGAAGCAAACCATAAGAGACTGTTAAATACAGAAAACAAACTGAGGATTGATGAGGGGTAGGAGAGAGGGGAAAATGGGTGATGGGCATTGAGAAGGGCACTTGTTGGGATGAGCACTGAGTGTTGTATGTAAGCGATGAATCATGGGAATCTACCCCCAAAACCAAGAGCGCACTATACACACTGTATGTTAGCCAATTTGGCAATAAATTATATTAATTTTTTTAAATAATTAGCTAACTCAAACAGAAAGAGGAAAAAGTTAATGTAGTATAGATAGAACAAATAGAAAATAAACAAATGATAGACTTGAACCATATCAATAATGACATTAAATACAAAGGCAGATTGTTGGGTTGGTTAAGAAAGTAAATCCCTGGGGCACCTCAGTGAATCAGTTGGTTGGGCGTCCGACT